ACAGACAAACAGACAGTCAAAGTGCAACACAAAGTCATAGAAATGACTCAATATGTTTCTTATTTCACACCTGCCATCCTGCCCCCTCCCTACACACACACACACACACACACACACACACACACACACACACACACACACACACACACACACATGCATGCACACACACACACAGCTTGAATGTATGTGGTTGGCAGGTGCTCCGGTGTGATTTGTTCTATCATTCCTATCAAACTTTTATAAATTTCTCCTCCTTTTTTGTATTTGTTACTCTCTGATTAGTGATGCCTGCAATCGCCTTTTCTCTTTTTATTAGCAGTGGATTGGATAATGAAACAGAAAACACCGGGACAACGCGGTGGCATACAGTGGACCCTTTCCAGTCAGCTGGAAGACTTGGACTTTGCCGACGACTTGGCACTTCTTTCTCTCAGTCGAGCCCAGATGCAACAGAAGACAGATCGCCTCAGGACCTTCTCCTATGGTGTTGAACTCCATATTCACACGAATGTAAAGGAAGACATACAGGTGAAGAAATGGACATGGATTGGGCACACCCTGAGGAGACCCCCGACAAGCATCATCAGACAGGCTTTGACGTGGAATCCACAAGGAAAACGTAAGAAAGGAAGACCAAAGATGACATGGAGGTGAGCGGTATAAGCGGAAATGGAAAAGGTGGGGACATCATGGAAACAGCTAGAAAAGGATGCACAGGACAATGTTGTTGATGGCCTATGCTCCACAGAGAGTTAAAAAGGGCAAGCGAGAGAGACTCTCTTATAACACTTCTAATCTTCGGCACTTATCATTACCTATTTGTGCTGAAAATTCCTTAAGGAAGTGTCTACGTACTCCCCGATTGGGGTCTATGTAGTCATGGTGTCTAGGTGGACCCCAAAATGTTGGATTGTGATTGGCTCGACATTGTTACAACATAGATACTACACCCTACGGTAGGGTGTACTATCTTTGGTTACAATGCAAGGCTACTGATCATCTCGGGCGGTGTGTCTATCTAGTGTTACTATAGTTTATTTATTTTAGCCCAGAGAGAGAGAGTATTTAACCCTCATCCTGCGGGAGCCGGGTTTATGTAGTCCGATAAGCCTATTTCGGCACCTCGCCTGCGTTCTGGTCCCGAGTCAGTGTAGCTCCTGGCTCAGCGCACGCGCAGCGCGCATCCTCTTACGTGTCATTCGGGTCCCGAGTCGGATCCCCATTCACGCAGGTCAAGTGTGTGCGCGTCAGTCTTCTTGAGTTTGTGTGCGTTTGTGGCCTTCTTCTAGAACCACCTGCGTTGGTTCGTAATCGAGGCATACGTCTCATTCAAAACATGCCAAGTTGATAGCTCTAGATGTTCGTCCAATGAAATTATAGAAGAAATTGACCCACTT